AAATAACAAGCACTCATATAAAGTGAGTGTAGAAACAAAGATGATAAAGAGAGAGATAAAGATAAATATAGAGCTATAGGTATAAATATACATATAAATATAAAAGGAAAAGTATGTGTGCAAATATGGCGTGGTGTACAAAAGTGACAGGGTGCACTGAGATGTAATTAATTCTCTTCCACATGTGTAGGTCTGACTAAGTGGATGAATTAAAGAGTCTGATAGCAGCGGGATAACGTTCCCTTAGACAGCGAGGTTAAAGGAACCTGTTGCTCAAAACTATCTAGACTTTTTTAGTCGCTGGTGACATAAAAAACTAATTATTGGAACAACATCTAAATCCCCAAAAAATTAGATAATGACTGAAACTAGCACCACTGATGAACAATGGGCTGTGAGGTCAGTTTCTTGATCATTAATATGCAAAAAAAAAAACCCTAGTTATCCCTTTTGTGTCAGGAGTAACAGTTGAGGCGCATCTTCTCTAAACATAGCGTCTCTGTGGTTTTTAAACCCCAAAACACGCCTCGCCAAAAATTGGTCCACCCCAAGGATCGGGTCCTCCGACACAAACAGAGTAATGTAGTGTACGCTGTTAAGTGCCAGGAGGATTGTCAGGATTTATACATCGGGGATACCAAACAACTTCTTGCTAAGCGGATGACACAATACAACACAGGCCAGTGGACACTCTTTCAATGATGAGGATGTACACATCCTGGACAGGGAGGAACGCTGGTTTGAGCGCAGAGTCAAGGAGGCCATTTACATGAAAAGGGAAAGACCATCTGTGAATCAAGGAGGGGACCTAAGGGTACATCTTTCGCCATCTTACAGCCATTCCTGAACTCTCTGTGATACTCATGGTCATTGATCAATGGGTGTTGATCAGTGGTCATGACAATTTGCATATTAATGATCAAGAAACTGACCTCACATTGTTTGTCAGTGGTTCTAGTTTTAGTCATTGTGCAAATGTACTGTTTATAAGGTTGGGGAAACCTGCAGTCAGATGAGACTGAAAAAGTCCCTTGGATGATGATGAAACATTTCTCCCACTGAAAATGCTACGTCCAGATGAACAGAAGCAACTGTTGAGCTAGTTAATAGGTATGTCCTCATTGGCATCTGTTGGGATTTTATTTTGAAAGGATGCTTCCTGTTATGCTGCGGAGTATACTCGAGAGTTCAATAAATAAAGACACATTGGTGTGAATGTTCCAGTAAAAAAGCCGATGCTCCACGTGTGATTATTCCTCCAATAAGTATCTTCAGTATTCATGCAGATTCTGCTGGAAGACCCGTCTCTGCTAACAGGTTATGGGCCTAGGAAAATATTGAAGCTACGCCAGGGGAAAGTTTACCACCAGAAAAGTCGCAAAGTACAGCGTGTTCGGTGAGGACTAGTATGCTAAGTTAGCACCACGAGTAAGCGTGTTGGTGAACCCAGTGGCCGTTGAGTAAGGTTGGTTTTTGACGGAGATGAGAAGAATTATAAACTGTGGGAGACAACATTTTTGGGACATCGTAGATTACAAGGTCTAAAAGAGACAATATTGAAGAGTAATGACGAAGATGAGGACGACGAAGATAAGAATGCCCAGGCCTATGCAGAGTTAATACAGATCCTGCATGATAAGAGTTTATTGCTTGTGATGAGAGAAGC